GGCCAGGAAGTGTCTCAAAGGAGGCGGGACACAGGGAGATGAGGTGGGGGGCGGTGTGAGATTCGGGATACCCGGCTGTCACAGGGCAGATGGGGTGCTCAGAACACACTGCGGGGGCAGGCGGCTTCGGCTGCTCAAGCTGGAGGTGTTTTCCCATGATGTCGCAGCCCTTAAAAAATGCAGATTTCCAGTTTGTTCTAGATCCCAATTTGTTGTGCACAGGACTTGGTTAATGTGACAATACTTTGCTGGCCCAGGCCAGCATCTGAATCGTCATCTCTCACCTCACTTATTAGAAGACGCTTCCAGAAGATGTGAGTAGAGTTTTATCCTCTGGTTAACTGACACCCATGTCCTCGGTCTCATGTGTTGGTCACACAGATCAGTCAGCCTTGCTGTAAATGTGAGCTCTGAAGGAAAGGGTATCGGTCTGTCATAATCTGTATGTTAGCCTCTATAAATATCCTACATGTTATTTACTTTTGGATTTCAGTTCCAGAAAAACTTAGTTTTTTCTTGAGAAAATGTTTCCTTATTGTTGATACTTGACTATATTTCCTTTTTTTTGCTTTGCTTACAAAGAAGCACGTCTATAAAATTGAACCTTTTACATGCTTTTTTTTTTGTCTTTTTGAGACAGGGTCTCCCTGTAGCGCCAGCTGGCCTAGAACTCACTGTGTAGACCAGGCTGGCCTTGAACTTACAGAGACCCACCTGCCTCTGCCTCCCGAGTGCTAGGATTAAAGGAGTGTGCCACCACAGCTGGTCTGCTATTTTTTTTTTAAAGCAACTATTTGTGTTTTTCTACTCTGTTGTAAAAGATTACCCACTTTTATTTATCTTTTTCTTTATTTCCTTATCCTATTTTGAGATTATTTCAATTGTACACATTTATTTAAAATCTTTATTTTCCTGGAAAGAGGTAGTCTAAGCTAACACATAAATATTTCCCTAAGCTTAAGTCTAATATCAACTAGAAATGCTTTCTGCTTACCATGTGAGGCTGTTTTTGATTCTCTGGTGATAAGGCCCTTATATTTCAGAAGAGATTTCATAAAGGCGGCTACACCCACAGCTACATGGCCAGTGTTTTTTTTCTTCATTTAGTCCTGCCAGTTCCATTACGGCAGGGGAGCGGAGCGGTTTCTACTAGCTCTAAGCGCCATCACCAGGCACACACCACCTATGGTCATGCGAAGCCAAAATCAGGATTACTAAAGGGGGATCCTTTCTCAGGGGAGGTATCCTGGAAATGGGTAGCTGCCGCTTCTGGGAAAACAAGTAATTGAATAGCCTATAACCTAAAACCACACCTTGGATGCTCAACATCTGGCTTCCTTTCTCTTTCTCTCTCTCTTTCTCATCTATCGTCTATATCTATCTATCCATCATCTATCAATCATCTATAATCTATCTATCTATCTATCTATCATCATCATCTACCATCTATCTATCTATCATCTATCTATCTAATCTATCATCTATCTATCTATCTACCGTCTATCTATCATCTATCTAATCTATCTATCATCTATCTATCTATCATCTATCTATCTATCATCCATTATCATCTATCATCTATCAATCATCTACCATCTATCAATCATCTATCATCTATGTATCTATCATCTATCTAGCCATCATCTATCTAGCATCTAGCATCTATCTATCTATGTATCTATGTATGTATGTATGTATGTATGTATGTATGTATGTATCTATCTATCTATCATAGATAGATAGATAGATAGATAGATAGATAGATAGTATGTGCATTTATAGTCTATCATCAATCCATCTATTATCTATCTATCTATCTATCCATCCATCCATCATCTATCTATCCATCTATCATCTATCTATCATCTGTCTATCACCTATCTATCTATCTATCTATCTATCTATCTGTCTATCTATCATCTCTCTCTCTTTCTCATCTATCTATCTTTTCATCTATCATCTTGAACAGGCTGGGAGGGCTGCAGAGCAGGCTGGGGCCTTACCACTGCTCAGGCCATTCCCACTATCACAACCATACAAGAATACTCTATAGAGAGTGACTGATGTGTCCACAGTCTGGATGCTGGGTGCGCCTATGCCTCGACAGTACAGAAAAGGAAGTCTGCTCCGCCCTCTGGACCAAGTTGCCCGGTCAAAGCTCAAGAGCCAAAAAAAGAACCTAATTCTTTCCTGAGCATAAGCTGCTCTAAACCTATCATATTTATTTACAGGTGAAAGAAAGTAAAACGGAGGCCAGGCTGTCTTAGAGTTAGAAATGCATACACAGCCCAGCTGAGTTGTTCTGACTGACACACTGATAAGCTCACAGCCCCTCAGTCATTCCCCTGAGGGAGTCTTTAACAAATCTGAATGAAAGGGAAAGGATGCCTTCTTCTTGTCTAGACTTTGGTGGACTAACCACCTTGGCTAAGTTGAACATGAGGTTTGCATCGAATTAAGTGAATATGTGCTTGTATGCATGTGTATAGGCACCTGCCTGCCTCCACCCCCCTCCCAACGTGTGTGTTGGTAGAATAACAAATACATAGAGGATCTTTTCTTTGACTACCAGCCTTGAGCACCCTGTAGCTCAAACCTACCAGCACGGACTGAAGAAAGTTGACTCAGGGACCTTCATTTCCATGTTCAGACCCAAAGCCTTAACTACTTTGGACACTTTCCCAAGTTCAGCATAGACTTCATGCTTTACACACTTCAAACACACATAAAGCAATTGTCGTGTCAGCCAGAAACTGTCCTCAGTCTTGCAGAAAAGTCTCTCATCTTTGCACTTCCGTAGAAATGCAGTGCCCCACCAGCCTCATCCTGGATGTGCCCGCCGCTGCTCACACTGCAGCACCCATTGGAGAAGGCCAGAGCACTTCACAGCCAGGGCCTGCCTCCAGAAGGCAGCAGATGACTACTGGTGCTTACGTGAAAAGCCATCTCAGAGAGAGCAGGGACTCACCACACAATAGGTGCCCACACTGTGCCATTTACACATGGCAACTTTATTCTGTAGAAACCTCAACTATTTGTTTTTTATTTTAAGGAAACAGTGTCTCAACATTACAGTCAAGATACAGAGCAGGGAACTGCTTTTAAAGAGAAACCAGCACAGGGTTAAAGCCAAGTTTTTCTTGAACAGATGATATTTCAGATGGCCCACTATTCCAGATGCATCAATTTCCTTGAAAATCCAATCCATATATGTGCATATGCTGTGCTGGCAGGGGACCGACTGAAATGGCCAAAACCCAAGAGCTAATATTCTTTTGGCCAGAATAATGCAATTATTATTTTCCTAGCTATCAGTCTAAGCATACAGAGCCATCTGTTATGCAAAGCAAACAAACACATCTCAATTACAGAAAATGCAGTTGCCTTGACAGAATTTGGACTACACCACTAACCAGGGCTGTAAAATGTGTTTGCAGCTATACAGAATGGATGCTTTTCAGGAGTTCCCTAATTAGCATTTACCTGCTTCAACTAATTATTCATCCTTCTTTACTGGTTTATTAAACTTTGTTGGATGCTCCACATGAAACAAATGAGCATGGCATCGTAGAACCACAAATGTGGGGTTCCCAGTACAATTCTGGCCAACAACACGGGGCTTACCAGTTTCAGAATTGGAGATTCCCAGTACTAGGTCCCAGGCAGATTAAGAGGAGGCTTAAAGTCTATTAAAGGCTATTATGAAACCAGAGATCTCAGCGAGATACAAGAGAACTAACACCGAGTTAACACCAGCTCAGTTTCTATCCCGTGGCTCGGGCAGTCCACACGAAATGGAGTTACTGTGCATGCTAGTCAAGAACGTGTGTGTTCTTAAGGAAGGAAGTGCTCACGACTACATCCCTTGTTTGGAATCTCAACAGCAAATAATCAAATTTGGCACGGCCTCACCTGCCTTCCTCAAATGCCAAATCTCTCTATTATTTCCCAATGTCTTTCTTGATTTAGCTGTTTCCCAGTAAACCCTCTAACAGCCAGAAGGTTCCAGCTGAGCTGGATGTTTCCTTAGAGCTGTGCCAACCTTCAGAAGCTATGAGTCTGGGCGGGACTTGCATTTTGGGAGAGCAGAGAATCTTACCTCCATCTTTAGCCAAGGGGCAACTGAAAGAGAGGTGGCTTAGACCCCTTGGCAGATCATGACATACACATACAATTGTCCGATGGAGGCCATTTCCCTTCTTCCCAACTACCACATGAAAAGGGCCAAACGCAGCCAATCACCTGCACCAGCACAGATACCCAGATGGTGATGCTTTTATGGAGAAGACATCTGGATAATCAGCTGAATGGGAGACCACTTAGTACCAGTATTCCTTGGATGCTGCCTGGACCTCGGAAGGCAACGAAACTCAAGTGTTCGTGTTTCTGGGGAAGAGCCAGGATTCTGTCCCTTGCCCTACCAGACTCCACCTTCTTTCCCTTCACCCTCTGACAAACACATGACCGATTAAATGGCAGATCATGAAAGGCAGCTTTATTTTATGGAAGCGTCTTCCAGCGTCAAGCAGTGTTTGCAAAGGCAGCCACTCTATCCTGGCCAGAACCCTCCCTGCAACACATTTTAATGGTGTCTCTCAGCATTTCTTGACTCCAAATGACTCTGGCCACCGTGTCAGCTCCCAGGATAGCTTGGGGTACTCCATAAACATGCAGTAATAGGACACAAGGGAAGCTCTATTAGTGTGGCCCTCTCCTACCGGGCACTGAGGTTTCAAAGTTCAAAACAACCGAGGGATGAAACTTCATTTGTTCTCAATAAATTAATAATGATCCTTGGGGGGCAGAGAGCAGAACTAAAGTTTTTGAGCACAAGTTTATTCTGAAAGCTCAACACAGGTTTCTCACTGACTTAGAAGAGTCAGGTAGAGGCCATTAAATAATAAATTAGATAATTCATGCTAAACAGAATAGCTCTTGAAGAAAGAAAAACCGGAGGAAGCTTCCCATTCACCACCAAGAATCTAAATTGCTTGACTTACTTGCGAGAGGCCTAGGTAGATGGAGACTGTTTCGGAAATGTACAAAAATTTTCCTTCTTGATTTAGTGCAAATACAAAGCCGTCCAGGGACTGCAGAGAGAGAGACATACAAATAGGTTAGTTAGTACGTCCGCACGTAGGAAGGGACTGCTAAGCAGCCGACAGAAAGACAGGCGACACGTCAGACTTCAGGCCACCTTCCCTTCATGTGTAGCAAGTCCTAAAATCGTTCAACTTCGTATGACATAAGAAGTACTTTAAGGGCTAAGGAATGCAAACTTTCCTTTATTTTAGAACTGTCTCTGTCATTTTGATCAAGATAATGACATTTATGTGTAAGATAAGGTCATGCTGGTTTTATGAGACATGGCCTTTATTTTGGGGGACTCGTGGTTACTGATATGAAGTCAGCAATTCTCCAGTAAAGCAGCTGAACAGGAAACTCTAATGAAATGAGAGGAAAAGGGGCTTCTATATGGAGAGCAAGGAAAATCACTACTTGCACTGATCTGATCGTCAAAACTGACTGGTTAATAAACGATGGTGCCCTCCTCTCCCCAGGTGCCATGGGTGGGAAAGAAAATAGGAAAAGCTGGTGTATTGTGGGTGGGTTATTTATGGGTTGAAACCTCACACACTACAGTAATGTCTACAAAACTCTGTTAAAGTTTTATTACGATAGACTCGAGTCTCTACCGCATCTCCCGGGAACAAGCGCAAAGGAACAAAAGGCAACGGCGGATGAAAGGTGGCTATGCTGTCACGCATCACTCTGAAGTCTCAGTCCAGCTTTCCAAGGGGACTGAGCGCCCTTTGGCTTGAGAAAGGGCAGAATCCATCTTGGAATCCAACTTAACATTCTGCATGTGGATACTGCCCGTGGAAGGGTTTACCTCATACTGAACATGTGTCATATCTCGAGAGAGGATTCAAAGGACTTACACGAAGCAGTGAGTAGTATCTGGACTCATTAAGATGCCTTTTAAAAATGATCCTCTCTTGTCCTTTCTAGGTGTTAAGGTGTACATGCACTTGCGTCCACTTCTGCATTTGTGACATATGTACGTTTCAGAATTCTATCATCAAGAAGTCCAACGACAAATGTTGGACAGGATGTGAAGAAGGATGAACCTCATTCACTGCTAGTGGGAGTACAGAATACTACAGCCATTATGGAAATCAGTTTGGAGGTTCCTCAAAATAGAGCTACCATTATGACCCAGTTGGCTCCCTCCTGGGCATATACACAGAGAATTCCGTGTCTTACAATGGAGATATTTGCCCCTCATGTTTATCTCTGTTCTGCTCACGATTGCAATGAATAGGAACCAACCTAGTTGTTCATAAACAGATAGTGGATAATGAAAATCAGGTACATATATAAAATGGAATATTACTCAGCTCTCAAGAGAAATGAAATCACAATATTCACAGGAAAATGGATGGATCTAGGATGTATATGAAGCAAGATCCCTGAATCTCAGAACGAAAAGAATGTGTGCCCTCCTTCGTATGCAGGTTCCAGCCTATAGCGTGTAAGGCACATATTCATTTCAAGGTCTTACAGTTCAAATGTACTCTCCCCCCGTCATCCCCACATTCATTTGTTCTGTGCTATTTTCAACAGAATAGACTGCACCGGGGCTGTGTGCACAGGAGAAAACTTAAATCTTAATGCTGCCAACCAAGGCTGTGAATTTGCAAATGTGGAAACCTGTGTTTGGAACAGGTATGCAGTGACACATTAATGATGCATTTTTATCAACACAGAAGGTTGGACAAAGCTGTACAATTGAGATAGAAGTATGCCCTCTTGAAATTCCAGCAAGAAATGCTCCTTAAATCAATGCCTCCTTAAATATTGGGAAAAGATGCTGTGTGTGGTTTAAATGGGCCTCTCCAAGGATCATGAGTTGGAAATTTAATCCCCAGTGCAACAGTGTTGAGTGGTAAGACCTTTAAGAGGTGGTCAGGGCAGGAGGGCGCTGCCCCTTGAATGCATTAATGTTGCTCCTGCTGGAGTGGGTTAGTTATCTCAGGAGTGGCTTCCCCTGAGAGTGAGTTTGGCCCCGTTCTCCTGCCTTCTCTCTCTCTCTCTCTCTCTCTCTCTCTCTCTCTCTGCTTTCGCCTTTCTGCCTTCTGCCACGCAGTAAGAAGGCTCTAGATGCGTGTCCCTTGACCTTGGACTTCCCCACCTCCAGAACTATGAATAATTAATCTCCATTCTTAATAAATTACCCCATTTCAGGTATTCTGTCCAAGCAGCACAGAACAGGGTAAGACAGTTACATATAAATGTATACATGGGCATGTGTATACATACATCTACATGTTAATATGCAGCATGCAGTTGCACGTATTCTAGGTCTTTTGGAACACTTTCCTGTAGTGCTGAGAGACTGTGTAGGCCCTAACTTTGTTCTCTGATTCAGTGAGCTCTGAAAACAACTCAAGGGCATATTATATTATTTTACAAGAAGCAAAGTATATGACAGACAAGCAACAGTGAACACAGAACAGTGATAACAGCTCAGACTTACTAAACGATGCTCAGTGCTTTCTTTTCAAGTCCCCAAACTTAGGACGTAATTACATCATCAACATTTTCTACACACGGAAATCAGTGCTTACCAAAGTTAGACAATACGCTTACCCCGGCTTTGGAGTTTGGATCTGCATTCTGACAGGGTTCACATTTTCCACTAATATACTCATTATTCAATATGTGTGGATTAATGAAAAGATAAATATACACAGTATTTCTGAAGTAAAGTATATATATTGAGGGAACCCACGACTTTTTAAGTACTTTTCAATGATCTGTTAAATAATGGAATCGGATCATTAGGGGTAAGGGTAACCAGAAAGTAGAGGAACAGGAGAGTTCAGAGGTCACCCTCACATGGGGTCATCAGGTCACCTCTGCTCTGTAGAGTGCCCCAGAACCAGCGAGGAACAGAAAGCTGCTAAGACATGTGGACTGGCAGCTCTCATCTAACAACCAGCCGGTTCTGTCTGGAAATAAACAGAAACTTTGACACATGTCTCAACTTCCTGGTGAGGTTAAAGTGAGTCCATGTCTACATGACATGAAGACAGCCAGTCAACTCAGCTAAAAATAACAGCCAAGGGCTGGGGAGACGGCTCACTGGAAAAAGTGCTTGCTGTGCAGGTCTGAGGACTGGGGTTCCATCCCCAGAAACCAGGTGAAAGTTTGGCAGGTGTGGCAGCCCCTCAGCAAAACCAGCAGCACAGGAGACAGAGACAGGATCCTGGGGCAAGCTGACTAGCCAGACTACTTGGAATCTGCGAGCTCTGAGGTTAACTGAGAGGCCCTGCCTCAGTAGAGAAGCTGCAGAGAGATAGAAAAAAATGCCCAATGTCAACCTTACACCACCACATGCGTGCACACATATACATGTGCACCCATACAAAGACGTGTGTTCACATATATGTGAACACATATACCCAGAGGCACATATACTATACACATGTAAAAGAAAATAATGGTAGCCAGCTTGGGAGCAGGGGAAGATTTCATTAACCACATCATCACATTATGCTCATCATTTGTGGTTGGTTCCCCTACGGTCTGAGACACACTTCCATAACTCAGGCTTAGCCACCTTTCAGACACGGAACAGGAAGTAAACTGTGTGGAAAGAAATCTGTCAAGGGATTTTGCACAAACACATGTCCTTGGGTCTTACGGCCACCCGCCCTCCGTTAACTATATCTAGCTACTTAGAACAGTTTGAAGGGGAGCATCAATATTGCTTTAATTTCAGTGTCCCAATTTAAAGAGGAGGAAGCAAGCATTCAATCCGTAGTCTTGGAAACCAAATGTGATTAATTTGAAAGTTCTATGGAATTCTTTAAAATTTTGAGTTGAGGGAGTGATTATATTCCGTGCTGCTGAAACACTGTGGGCCACTTTTTACATTTTTCTTAAACTGCCCACTGTTTTCAACAAGCACCAATTAAGATTCTGGGGTCAAAGGGTTAATTACATCTTCTTACCCACTATGTAGAATTTTCTGATTATTAACTAAGGTTGGATTAAGATGAAAAAGAACGTACACAAATGTTAACGCTCATCCCTCCTCAGAAGATTTACCGTAAAGCCAGGCTGAAATCTATCTGCTTTCCTCAAGGCAGATGAGAACAAAATCAGAAGAAACAGTAAAAACGACATTTTAAAGATGTGCAAGTATCTGATTTATCAAGGCAGTTTTCTTATTACGGAAAACAGTTCCTAGCTAAGTAGATGGGGCTGACAGGAGGTTCCTTTGTCATATCCCAGTAAGTCTCTGAGACTATGAGGAAGACACTAGGAATGGGGTTTGGACACAGAAGTCAGGAGCTACAGTGTCTTAGAATAATAATGCCTGTAATTATAATTTATATCCCCCCACACTGTGTAAAGCAGAAAGTGTGTGGCACTATTTCTTTACCCCTGAAGCTGGATACCTCTCACCGTATTTATCAAACGATGAGGTTATTTCATTGCAGAGTAGGAGCTCCAGCTTCATGACTGAGGGTGTGCTAATGTTTAATGCATTGTGCTAAATGGATTTTTATTTGTCAGAGTTTTGTCTCTGCTTTCGTTGTTATGCATATTCCACTGCAGCCAAATTTCTCAGAGTGAAATCTTCCTACGGTGCCATCACAGGGACAAGTCTCATGTATATAACCGCTGTGAAATTAGTGCTTCCTTCCACATTCCAGTGCAGAAGGGGGAAAAATCACTTTAAACTCTTTTCCTGCAACCTAACTCCAGTTAGAGAGAAGAATTACCAGTAGGCTAGGTTATTTTAATGACAGATTATTTTAAACTAAGCCTTCACCATCTGTTCCACCCCTCATTATGAATGCAAAAAGAACATATTTCACAATTACATCAGTAAGAAAGTAAGCTCTCCGTGATTTAAATGCACGCATGTGCTCCCTGTCCAATGCGCCACGCATCTGTGATGATCAGACTGCACACAAAATACCTATGGGCAACACGGCCCTTGCCTCTCGAAGTGTCCCCTCCAATGCCCCGACTTCTCTGCTCTTCCAGTACTCTGGTACCAGAGCACAACATG